GCAACTTCCGTTCCTTTCCCAGCCGTCACCGTCATTCCTTCTTCGCCGCGATTCCGGTGGCAAAGGTTCAACCAAGGCAATTCACCAGCATGTTAGTATCCTTTTTTTTTTGAACGATTTTCTGTAAGGCATGAGAAATCCTAGATGGTTATAAATTTGCTGGCAAAGTTAATTTGGAACACAACAGCTACCTGGAAGCAAAACCAGGATAGAAAACCCAAATTATAATATTTTATTTTGCTCAAAAGTATTTATTCTTGGCCAGCTATATACGGAACTGGAGTTTAATTGGTCCAGTGGGACCGTCCATTCCTGTTACAGTTAAAGACGCTCCTGAGTTCATGCAGTTTGTAAGACATTTTTAATATAGAGGCACATCCCTGGTTTTCTTGGCGAATTGACGATTGTTCCAGGGGGTGAAATCCGTCGTAACTTTGGTCACTAAACAAACTGCCCTGAGTCCAGAACTAATGCTCCAACACTGGAGAAGAGATTGGATAACCCAATCTTAGGAGCCTTGGTGGAGCAGCGGACTAAAGCGCTGTTAAATAGCACTTAGTTGCCAGCTGCCTGCAATTAGTGCGAGTTCAAATCTCACCAGGCTGAAGGTTGACTCAGCCTTCCATCCTTCCGAGGTAGGTAAAATGAGGACCCGGTTTGTGGGGGCAATAAGCTGACTTTGTATAAAAAAAAAAAAGAACACCGCTTTGGAGGGAGGGGCGAAAGCCCTACTAAGCAGGTATATACAAAAGTATGAAGGCTATTGCTTAACGCATTGCAAGCCGCCCTTAGTCTCCGGAGAAGGGTGGCATATAAATCGAACCAATAAATAAATAAATAAAGCGATGTAGGGTTTCCTGCCTAAGCAGGGGGTTGGACTAGAAGACCTCCGAGGTCCCTTTTCCGACTCTCGTCATTCTATTTCTCTTTCTACCTACCTGTAATTCGTATTTTGCTTTGGGACAGACTCCCTCCAGGGGCCAGGGAATAGCATGGAAATGTGATCGCCTTCATTTGATGCCCTGAGCTCAGAAAACTTGATTTACACAGGAGGATGGGAGACAGCGAGTTTTGAGAAAGCAGGGACAGCTTCGTTCAGACAGCGGAGGGAAAAACAGCCCACGACCAACTGCCTCCCTTTCTAAAAAAATAAATAAATAAAAATAATGGCATTAACTGTGATATTCTGCTTTTATTAGAAATAGAAATAACAAGAGTCGGAAGGGACCTTGGAGGTCTTCTAGTCCAACCCCCTGCTTAGGCAGGAAACCTTACCCCACTTCAGACAAATGGTTATCCAACCTCTTCTTAAAAACATCCACTGTTGGAGCATTCACAACTTCTGGTGGCAAGCTGTTCCACTGGTTAATTGTTCTCACTGTCAGGAAAATTCCTCCTTAGTTCTAGGTTGCTTCTCTCCTTGATTAGTTTCCACCCATTGCATCTTGTCCTGCCTTCTGGTGCTTTGGAGAATAGCTTGACTCCCTCTTCTTTGGGGCAGCCCCTGAGATATTGGAAGACTGCTATCATGTCACCCCCAATCCCGTGACGGTGAACCTATGGCACACGTGCCACGCAGAGCCCACTCTGCGGGCACGCCAGCCATTGCCCCAGCCCAGCTCCACCACGCATGTGTGCACACCTCCTGCCAGCCAGCTGATCTTCGGGTCTCTGCTGCACATGTGCGGGGGGTGCAGTTTGGTGCAGGCGGCTTCCCAGGTGCGTGGGAGACCCTCATGCAGCCCCCCCGCACCCCATTTGGCTTCACAGGGCGGCCTCCCCCCGCACCCCATTTTGAACCTGGAAAACCTCTTGCACCAACCTGGAAGCCAAAATGGGACGAGAGGGAGGCCCATGCATGGGGGACGCACTCACATGCGTGGGGACATGCGCGGCAGGGTGCCCACATTGCATTTTGGGGGTTCTGGCACACGCGCATGCATTAGCACGTGTGTGCATACATGCTTCAGGCACTCTGCACCGAAAAGGTTAACAATTACTGCTCTAGTCCTCCTTTTCATTAAACTAGACATACCCAGCTGCCGTAGCTGTTCTTCCTATATTTTAGCCTCCAGTCCTCTAATCCTCTTGGTTGCTCTTCTCTGCACTCTTTCTGGAGTCTCCACATCTTTTTTACATCGTGGCGACCAAAACTGGACGCAGGATTCCAAATGTGGCTTTACCAAGGCCTTATAAAGTGGTATTAACACTTGATCTTGATTCTATCCTTCTGTTTATGCAGATATGGATGCTGATAGACTGAGTTTTTGGGCAGCCTCCCAAGAAAAAAACCAACCCTTTAAATGACTCCTTTAACAGTAACCGAGTTGGAAGGGACCTTGGAGGTCATCCAGTCCAACCCCCTGCTCTCGCAGGAGACCTGGACTAGGGATTCGAACCGCCGACCTTTCTGATCGACAAGCTCAGCGTCTTAGCCACTGAGTCATTACTAGTTCCCCGCATGTCCGTAATTCCAAACTGGGGCCCCCCACGTGTTAGCGACGCCCCCAGATCGGTCATTATCTCAACATGAAAAACACGTCAAATTCGGTGTGCTTTTATTCAAGGCAGAGGGGAGAGAGGACGGAGTGAAAAAAAATATATGTATATATACAAAGCTACACGTTTTGCATTTGACACAACGGTGTGAAGGATTTTAAAAAAACAAACAAACAACTTCTCTATTCCAGTGTTTTGGTTTCAATGGCTCACTTCAAAAAAAAAATGATTTTTTGCACCCTTTCTGATGAAAGAGCAAACATGTTTTCCCTCCCTCCCTCCTTCCCCCTCTACGGACGATGCAATTCGGCCTGGGTTGCAATTGGAAGAAAAGGACAGTCTTGAAATAAGAAAAACAGGGTCAGCAATTCTATCCGGAGAGGAAATTTTAAAAAAAAAAACAAAAAACCAGCTAAAACAAGCCACGAATGCACCAAGGAAGGAGGAAAGGAGATTGGCTTCGGTGCGTAAGGAAATTGTGTGGTTTCATTGCATAGAATCTCGGTCAATTCAGAAGGAGTAAAAAAAAAAAAAGAATCTCGGGACATCCACAGCAGTGGTGAGTCTCTACCGGTTCGTGCGAATCGGTAGCGGCGGTGGTGGGAGGCTCTGCCCATCCGCCCGGATGTCATCACGGATGCCCTGTGCGCTCACAGTTCTGAACCGGTAGCGAAGGTAAGTGAAACCCGCTACTGATCTACAGGCTCTTCCCAAGTCACTTTCCCCACACAACGGAGGATGGTTAACGAGCCGAAAGGAAGGAAAGGATCCTAAATTAATAACCATGCAACTTCGGTAACACAAATGTCACTTTTTTTTAAAGGGATGGGAGGTGCATGTATCACGAGATTAAGGAAGCGGCGGTCGGCCGCGGCTTCTGGATTTTAACTCCCACCGTAAACCCAGCTAGCGTGACCGACGCTAAGGGTTGGGATTGTGTATTCTGACAACTTCAGGAAGGGCCAGAAAAGTGGCCTTGACGGAAAGCAAGGCAAGGAAGAGAACACGACATCCAATTTTAGCGGGAAAGACAGCTGCCTTCGGAGGGAAGGATTGTGACTTCTACAATGCCCCGTTTGGCTCCAACATTTGGAATCGGTGCCGCCGCTCTCTAGATCCTAGTTTACTTCCCTTGAATCGAGATCAACTCGGAATTTAAAAAAAAACAGTTTAAAGCGTTCTTTAAAGAGTTAAAAGAAACCCTCCACGGAGGAATCGTTGAACGGAGGGGGATTTAAAGTGGCTGGATCTCTTTGCATGGCCTTTGGAGAGTTTTAAGGACTGGCGCGCCTTGATTTGCATAAGGACGGACTCGAGTTAGGACAACTGCATGGGGTGCAGGGGGGAGAGAGGAACACCCCCTCATCCAGGAAGCTAAGTCACCACTACTGTTGAGTTTGGAGCCTTTCTAAAAGGTGTAGATTTAGTTATTACAGAGCACCAAACTAGACGCCAAGAGAATACAGGCAGTCCTCGACTTACGACCATAATTGAGCCCCAAATTTCTGTGGCTAAACGAGACGTTTCTTAAGTGAGTTTTGCCCCGTTCTGTGACCTTTCTACTCAACAGCTGTGGCTAGCGAATCACTGCGGTTGAGAAGTTAGCAACTTGGTTGTTAAGTGAATCTGGCTTCCCCGCTGACTTTGCTTGTCAGAAGGTTCACAGAGTTGGAAGGGACCTTGGAGGTCATCTAGTCCAACCCCCCCGCCGCCCAAGGAGGAGACCCTATATCATTTCTGACAAATGGCAGTCCAATCTCGTTAAAAACTTCCCAGTGTTGGAGAATCCACAACTTATAGTGGCAAGCTGTTCCACTGGTTAATTGTTCTCACTGTCAAGGAAATTTCTTCTTAATTCTAGCTTGCTTCTCTCCTTGATTAGTTTCTATCCGTTGCTTGTAAAAGTGGATCGTATGACCCCGGGACACAGCAACAGTCGTAAGTATGAATCAGTTGCCAAGCACCCCGTATGTAAGTCACGTGATCCCGGAGATGCTGCAAAGATCGAGTGTGAAAAATGGTCGTAAGTCACATCTTTCAGTGCCGTTGTAACTTCGGTCACTAAATGAACTGTTGTAAGTCAAGGACTAGCTGTATTCCCAAGCACCCACCTTTCTCTCGCTGCTGGCGAGCAGAGAGCATGGGGTGAGCGGTTGACCCCTCGAAGAGCTAACTCTGGGCTTCCAAGCGTGGTTATGGGGAAGACGGGATGGGCCTGTCCAAGTTGGGGTTTGGCCGCCTCCCCCCACCTTAAAAACTCAGGGAGCAGGCTAGGATTTTACTAAAAGGAAGGAAACCTGGCTGGGCCCTACTTGGGTGCGAAGAAGATTAAAAAGGGAGAATAAAACCTATCTGAACGCTCAAAAAATGGCAAGGCTGCCCTGAGCTTAAGGCCTCGGTCAAACTCTAGGAAAAAAAAAAAAAAACACCACAGGAAGAAGGGAGTGTGCTTTCTAGCAGCCTATCCCACGTGTGAGAGAAACAACCCCCCCTCTGGAAAGCATTTTCGGTGCCATTTTGTTTCCAAAAAAAACACACACAAAAAATATGGCACTTGAGTTTCCCTTGAAGCATGGCCATTTCCTCAAGGCAGTTGGTTCCTCGTCGGCTAGGAGGCCTCGATCCCAACCGCAGAAATCACAGGGTCCAGAGCAAAGAGACTTCTCGAAGCTGCTTGGCAACCAGGAAAGCTAAAATTGGCGTCCCATCCGGGTCGCCAGAAACGTCTCTCTCCCAAAGGTAACCTAACGTCCCCGTTTCCTGCCAATTGGAACGAGTCCACTCGTTGCTCGGAAGCCATCTGGCCCCCCGTCGCCGATTCTCTTCTTAGGTGATTTCCCAGCGACTCAATGGCTGGCCTAGTATTTACAAGTCCCGATGGCTACACATTGCTGACCCGGGTCTCGGTGGACAAAGTCGTGCTGGTGGTAGAGGTGGCGAGCGAACGATCCCGTCGGACATAACGAGGTTTCCGGACTGGAGTCAAAAGAGAGAGAAACACGGTTAGTTTCTATCCCGAGTCTCACCAAAGAGGCTTAAAATTCATTCAAAGGATTTCCACACCTTTCTCTTCCAACACTGGCTCATCCCATCCCATCCCATCTCACACACACACACACACACACACACACACACACACACAGATTAGGGTGGATAAAAATTGATGATTGTTTTTTTTTTATTTTTATCAAATTTATTTTAAAAAAATCTATTTAAAGATAGTTTTCTATTTAAGTTACATTAATAATTTAATTTATTCAGCATGAAAGTTATGTAGCATGAGGCTGTATATTCTGCAATATTGGAACTGTCGGTGAGTCAACAGCGGGTCAGAGGAGGAGCCGCTGCGGGACTGAGATGACAGTTTCTCTTTAAAAATTATGATTTAAATCAAGTCGATTTCAATCAAGCCTTTTTACTAGTGATTTAAATCGTGATTTAAATTCACCCAGACACAGATACATGTTTTTAAAAAAGGAAAATTAAAAAAAGAAAAACTGGGAGGAACCCTCGCTTAAAAAAAAAAAAAAACGATATGCCAAAAGGACACAATATTTTGATTTGGAAAACAAGGGCTCCCTAGGGGACGGTGTAAGCCTCCTGACTCTACATGCTTATTAAGAAAATTTTGTTGACGAACAGGCGGTAGAAAGAAATCCCGTCATTCCCCCTCTCCTCCCTCAACTGTAATTATTTTTTCTGCTCCAATCGCCCGCCACCCGAAACGGCGCATGCATTTGCAGTCTGCAGAGACTGAAAATGAGCCACCTGGGATTTATTCAGGCAGATTGAAATGTTGGAGGCGCCCCGGAGAGGCATGCTCAAAAATGCTTCCCTCGCCGCCAAGCATTCCTGTAAAAATCTTGCACACTGCTCGGTCTGTTTTTGAAAGAGCTTAACTATTTAGGGTAGTGGAAACGGGGAGAGAACCATTACAAGGGGTTGTAGTTATGCCTGGATCAGGGGGAACAAAGAGCAGCTTTGTGTTGAGAAGAGATTTCTTAGGATAAAATAAATCATCATCATCATCATCATCCCAGATTTCCAAAGCCATCCTATCTTCCTTTTCTGGATACAACTCAAAGGTGGTATTAAACTGGTTTGGATCGGTTTGCCCGAACCGGTAATGGAAATCGTGCAATTTGCAAACCGGTAAGGAAAATAAGTAAATACCATCTCTGATACAACTCGAGGTTTTACTCCTGCAGAAATAACCCTTGTTACCCAAGACACCTAGCTAAGGCGTTTTGCACGAACGAGAGATGCAAGAGAAAAATCCTTACTTGAAGAAGGTGGAGATAACATGGATGCCTAGGAAGAAAAAAAAAAAATCGAGATGAGATTTGGAAACGAGTCGGCCTTTGCGTTAAGATAACCACCCCCCCGGCCCTGTCCCGGTTTTCCGGGAAAATTGATCGTCGTTTCTACCCGTTAATTGGGGAAAAAACGGATTTATGGTGATCTCACATTGTCATTTCTCGCTGGAAATTCCATTATCGAGACCAGCGTGGTTTAAATGTGCCAACCTGGAAAGGATGCGGACTTCAAACTTCCCAGAATTCCCCAGCCGTTCTGGCTGGGGAATTCTGGGAATGGAAATCCGTGCAATTTAAATTTGCGGGTTTGAAAAACGCCGGTGTAAGCATTCCAATATTCTGCTGTGTCTTCCTAGATTGCAAAACACCGCCCCGAGTTTGCTAACAGACCAGAGGAAGGAGAGAGAGCAGGAAGGGGCCATCTGGGACCTTCCCGCCAGTGGCAGCTTCCCCACCCATCATCCTCAGCTGCCTTCTTGCCTTGTGAGGCTTTGCAATATCCTGGAAATCCCCAAAGGTGGATCCCGTACTTACTGATTCAGCAGACTGTACAATGGACCCTGGGAAACACAGAAAGGGATAATAAAAAAAGAGAGAGAGAGAGAGAGAGAGAGAGAGAGAGAAGAGATTAACAAGAGAAGTCTGTTTCAATTATGCGCACCGACATCAAAAGGTTTCTTCCCTACCAAGGGATCTGTTCCTGAACAGCCTGGAAGGATTCCTGACTGGGTTAAACAGCCAAGGAGAGAGGAATCTTAAATTCTTTCAATTCTTATACCCGAAGGTGATTTCCCCCCCCCAGGGGGGGGGTTGGAATAACAGTATAACACAAGTGGAAGGGACCTTGGAGGTCTTCTAGTCCAACCCCCTGCTCCCGCAGGAGGCCCTATACCAGGGGTGTCAAACTCGATTTTATTGAGGGCCGCATCAGGGTTGTGTTTGACTGTGGGGGGCGGGGAGGGGCGTGGTCAGGGAGGGGCATGGCCAGCATGATGTCACTTGTGTCGGCGGGTGCCTGAGTGATCTGCCGGTGAAAACAGGCTCCTGAGCGCCGTTTCCAGCTGCGACAGCCTCCTGTAACCCTCTTGCAGCGAAAACAGAGCTCGTTGGGGGAGACGTGCGGTGCTCGCGAGCTCCGTTTTCACTGGCAGAGGGACTGTGGGCTGGTCCTTCGCTATTTTCAGGGCGGCCTCCCCAGCCAGATCTAAGCATCCCACAGGCCGGATCTGGCCCCCAGCCCGTGAGTTTCACACTCCTGCCCTATACCATTTTAGACAAACGCTTCTCTAATGTCTTCTTAAAAACCTCCAGTGATGGAGCACTCACAACTTCTGGTGGCAAGCTGTTCCACTGATTTAATTCTTCGAACTGTTAGGAAGTTTCTCCTTAATTCCACGTTGCTTCTCTCCTTGATTAGTTTCCATCCGTTGCTTCTTCTCCTGCCTTCTGGTGCTTTGGAGAATAGGTTGACGCCCTACTCTTCTTTGTGGCAGCCCCTCAAATATTGCAACACTGTGTCTCGTGCCACCCCTAATCCTTCTATTCACGAGACTAGACGTACCCAGTTCCTGCAACCGTCCTTCATACGTTTTTAGCCTCCAGCCCCGCTAATCATCTTCTCCGCAACAGCCGGCAGACAAACCTACCTTTGTTTCTTCGATAGAAGAGATTGGGGAGTTTATTGGCACGTTTGAGGTAGAAGAAGGATGCAACACAGAGGATGAGGAAGAGGCTGATCAAGAAAGTGCCAAAAATTAGGGAAGCCGCGACTTCGGGACCTCCTATAGAAAGCCAAAACAAAAACGAAGAAGCGTCTCACAGAAGGAACATCTTTTTCCTAACCTTGCAAATTAATCCTTGAGATTGGCCAGCGAGTGTCTTGCTGACCGTCGCCCCTTAATTCCTGCCCCAGAATGTCCATTTTTTAATCTAAATATATAAAAATGGCTCTGTGTGTTTGTGTATGTTCCAGCATAACTCTGGAACGCCTCGAGCAATTTCAACCAAACTTGGTACACAGATGACTTACTCTCTGGAAAGAAATACTATGGGGGTAAGACACCCCTAACACCCCTTGCAAAGTCTGTTCGGCGTTACTCACCTATACCGAAAGTCTCTGGAGTTAGGGTAGTTAGGTTGATTAGAGGGTTCAATTCCCCAGCTGCATCTACAAAAAAAAAAAAAAAAAAATTTTTTTTTTTTTTTTTTTTGTAGATGCAGCTGGGGAATTGAACCCTCTAATCAACCTAACTACCCTAACTCCAGAGACTTTCGGTATAGGTGAGTAACGCCGAACAGACTTTGCAAGGGGTGTTAGGGGTGTCTTACCCCCATAGTATTTCTTTCCAGAGAGTAAGTCATCTGTGTACCAAGTTTGGTTGAAATTGCTCGAGGCGTTCCAGAGTTATGCTGGAACATACACAAACACACAGAGCCATTTTTATATATTTAGATTAAAAAATGGACATTCTGGGGCAGGAATTAAGGGGCGACGGTCAGCAAGACACTCGCTGGCCAATCTCAAGGATTAATTTGCAAGGTTAGGAAAAAGATGTTCCTTCTGTGAGACGCTTCTTCGTTTTTGTTTTGGCTTTCTATAGGAGGTCCCGAAGTCGCGGCTTCCCTAATTTTTGGCACTTTCTTGATCAGCCTCTTCCTCATCCTCTGTGTTGCATCCTTCTTCTACCTCAAACGTGCCAATAAACTCCCCAATCTCTTCTATCGAAGAAACAAAGGTAGGTTTGTCTGCCGGCTATTGCGGAGAAGATGATTAGCGGGGCTGGAGGCTAAAAATGTATGAAGGATGGTTGCAGTAACTGGGTACGTCTAGTCTCGTGAATAGAAGGATTAGGGGTGGCACGAGACACAGTGTTCCAATATTTGAGGGGCTGCCACAAAGAAGAGTAGGGGGTCAACCTATTCTCCAAAGCACCAGAAGGCAGGAGAAGAAGCAACGGATGGAAACTAATCAAGGAGAGAAGCAACGTGGAATTAAGGAGAAACTTCCTAACAGTTCGAAGAATTAAATCAGTGGAACAGCTTGCCACCAGAAGTTGTGAGTGCTCCATCACTGGAGGTTTTTAAGAAGACATTAGAGAAGCGTTTGTCTAAAATGGTATAGGGCAGGAGTGTGAAACTCACGGGCTGGGGGCCAGATCCGGCCTGTGGGATGCTTAGATCTGGCTGGGGAGGCCGCCCTGAAAATAGCGAAGGACCAGCCCACAGTCCCTCTGCCAGTGAAAACGGAGCTCGCGAGCACCGCACGTCTCCCCCAACGAGCTCTGTTTTCGCTGCAAGAGGGTTACAGGAGGCTGTCGCAGCTGGAAACGGCGCTCAGGAGCCTGTTTTCACCGGCAGATCACTCAGGCACCCGCCGACACAAGTGACATCATGCTGGCCATGCCCCTCCCTGACCACGCCCCTCCCCGCCCCCCACAGTCAAACACAACCCTGATGCGGCCCTCAATAAAATCGAGTTTGACACCCCTGGTATAGGGCCTCCTGCGGGAGCAGGGGGTTGGACTAGAAGACCTCCAAGGTCCCTTCCACTTGTGTTATACTGTTATTCCAACCCCCCCCCCCGGGGGGGGGGAAATCACCTTCGGGTATAAGAATTGAAAGAATTTAAGATTCCTCTCTCCTTGGCTGTTTAACCCAGTCAGGAATCCTTCCAGGCTGTTCAGGAACAGATCCCTTGGTAGGGAAGAAACCTTTTGATGTCGGTGCGTATAATTGAAACAGACTTCTCTTGTTAATCTTTTCTCTCTCTCTCTCTCTCTCTCTCTTTTTTTTTTATCCCTTTCTGTGTTTCCCAGGGTCCATTGTACAGTCTGCTGAATCAGTAAGTACGGGATCCACCTTTGGGGATTTCCAGGATATTGCAAAGCCTCACAAGGCAAGAAGGAGGCTGAGGATGATGGGTGGGGAAGCTGCCACTGGCGGGAAGGTCCCAGATGGCCCCTTCCTGCTCTCTCTCCTTCCTCTGGTCTGTTAGCAAACTCGGGGCGGTGTTTTGCAATCCAGGAAGACACAGCAGAATATTGGATTGCTTACACCGGTGTTTTTCAAACCCGCAAATTTAAATTGCACGGATTTCCATTCCCAGAATTCCCCAGCCAGAACGGCTGGGGAATTCTGGGAAGTTTGAAGTCCGCATCCTTTTCCAGGTTGGCACATTTGAATCACGCTGGTCTCAATAATGGAATTTCCAGCGAGAAATGACAATGTGAGATCACCATAAATTTGTTTTTTCCCCAATTAACGGGTAGAATCGACGATCAATTTTCCCGGAAAACCGGGACAGGGCCGGGGGGGTGGTTATCTTAACGCAAAGGCCGACTCGTTTCCAAATCTCATCTCGATTTTTTTTTTTTCTTCCTAGGCATCCATGTTATCTCCACCTTCCTCAAGTAAGGATTTTTCTCTTGCATCTCTCGTTCGTGCAAAACGCCTTAGCTAGGTGTCTTGGGTAACAAGGGTTATTTCTGCAGGAGTAAAACCTCGAGTTGTTTTAAGGGATGGTATTCACTTATTTTCCTTACCGGTTTGCAAATGTGTGCGCCTGTGCCCAGCCTCAAAAATGTGCCTTAAAAAAGGATGGCATAGAGCCAGGGCAGATGGATGCGCGATTTCCACCCATGATTTCCATTACCGGTTCGGGCAAACCGATCCAAACCAGCTTAATACCACCTTTGAGTTGTATCCAGAAAAGGAAGATAGGATGGCTTTGGAAATCTGGGATGATGATGATGATGATGATGATGATGATGATGATGATTTATTTTATCCTAAGAAATCTCTTCTCAACACAAAGCTGCTCTTTGTTCCCCCTGATCCAGGCATAACTACAACCCCTTGTAATGGTTCTCTCCCCGTTTCCACTACCCTAAATAGTTAAGCTCTTTCAAAAACAGACCGAGCAGTGTGCAAGATTTTTACGGGAATGCTTGGCAGCGAGGGAAACATTTTTGAGCATGCCTATCCGGGGCGCCTCCAACAATTCAATCTGCCTGAATAAATCCCAGGTGGCTCATTTTCAGTCTCTGCAGACTGCAAATGCATGCGCCGTTTCGGGTGGCGGGCGATTGGAGCAGAAAAAATAATTACAGTTGAGGGAGGAGAGGGGGAATGACGGGATTTCTTTCTACCGCCTGTTCGTCAACAAAATTTTCTTAATAAGCATGTAGAGTCAGGAGGCTTACACCGTCCCCTAGGGAGCCCTTGTTTTCCAAATCAAAATATTGTGTCCTTTTGGCATATCGTTTTTTTTTTTTTTAAGCGAGGGTTCCTCCCAGTTTTTCTTTTTTTAATTTTCCTTTTTTAAAAACGTGTATCTGTGTCTGGGTGAATTTAAATCACGATTTAAATCACTAGTAAAAAGGCTTGATTGAAATCGACTTGATTTAAATCATAATTTTTAAAGAGAAACTGTCATCTCAGTCCCGCAGCGGCTCCTCCTCTGACCCGCTGTTGACTCACCGACAGTTCCAATATTGCAGAATATACAGCCTCATGCTACATAACTTTCATGCTGAATAAATTAAATTATTAATGTAACTTAAATAGAAAACTATCTTTAAATAGATTTTTTTAAAATAAATTTGATAAAAATAAAAAAAAAACAATCATCAATTTTTATCCACCCTAATCTGTGTGTGTGTGTGTGTGTGTGTGTGTGTGTGTGTGTGAGATGGGATGGGATGGGATGAGCCAGTGTTGGAAGAGAAAGGTGTGGAAATCCTTTGAATGAATTTTAAGCCTCTTTGGTGAGACTCGGGATAGAAACTAACCGTGTTTCTCTCTCTTTTGACTCCAGTCCGGAAACCTCGTTATGTTCGACGGGATCGTTCACTCGCCACCTCTACCACCAGCACGACTTTGTCCACCGAGACCCGGGTCAGCAATGTGTAGCCATCGGGACTTGTAAATACTAGGCCAGCCATTGAGTCGCTGGGAAATCACCTAAGAAGAGAATCGGCGACGGGGGGCCAGACGGCTTCCGAGCAACGAATGGACTCGTTCCAATCGGCAGGAAACGGGGACGTTTGGTTACCTTTAGGAGAGAGACGTTTCTGGCGACCCGGATGGGACGCCAATTTTAGCTTTCCTGGTTGCCAAGCAGCTTCGAGAAGTCTCTTTGCTCTGGACCCTGTGATTTCTGCGGTTGGGATCGAGGCCTCCTAGCCGACGAGGAACCAACTGCCTTGAGGAAATGGCCATGCTTCAAGGGAAACTCAAGTGCCATATTTTTTGTGTGTGTTTTTTTTGGAAACAAAATGGCACCGAAAATGCTTTCCAGAGGGGGGGTTGTTTCTCTCACACGTGGGATAGGCTGCTAGAAAGCACACTCCCTTCTTCCTGTGGTGTTTTTTTTTTTTTTTCCTAGAGTTTGACCGAGGCCTTAAGCTCAGGGCAGCCTTGCCATTTTTTGAGCGTTCAGATAGGTTTTATTCTCCCTTTTTAATCTTCTTCGCACCCAAGTAGGGCCCAGCCAGGTTTCCTTCCTTTTAGTAAAATCCTAGCCTGCTCCCTGAGTTTTTAAGGTGGGGGGAGGCGGCCAAACCCCAACTTGGACAGGCCCGGCCCGTCTTCCCCATAACCACGCTTGGAAGCCCAGAGTTAGCTCTTCGAGGGGTCAACCGCTCACCCCATGCTCTCCGCTCGCCAGCAGCGAGAGAAAGGTGGGTGCTTGGGAATACAGCTAGTCCTTGACTTACAAGAGTTCATTTAGTGACCGAAGTTACAACAGCACTGAAAAATGTGACTTACGACCACTTTTCACACTCGACAACCTTTGCAGCATCTCCGGGATCACGTGACTTACATACGGGGTGCTTGGCAACTGATTCATACTTACGACTGTTGCTGTGTCCCGGGGTCATACGATCCATTTTTACAAGCAACGGATAGAAACTAATCAAGGAGAGAAGCAAGCTAGAACTAAGAAGAAATTTCCTTGACAGTCAGAACAATTCACCAGTGGAACAGCTTGCCACTAGAAGTTGTGGATTCTCCAACACTGGGAAGTTTTTAAGAAGAGATTGGACTGCCATTTGTCAGAAATGATATAGGGTCTCCTCCTTGGGCGGCGGGGGGGTTGGGCTAGATGACCTCCAAGGTCCCTTCCAACTCGGTGAACCTTCTGACAAGCAAAGTCAGCGGGGAAGC